AGGCCAGAAGAGGGCACCAGACCTCATTACAGATGGTTGTGAGCCACCATGTGGTTGCCGGGAATTGAACTCAGGACCTTTGGAAGAGCAGGCAATGCTCTTAACCACTGAGCCATCTCTCCAGCCCCAAGACTGCTTTTTAAAAACTAAAAAAATTATACTTTGGAAACATGGTAGGTATGCAGGTGATGGTTAGTGGAGTTTGCACGCTGAGAAAAGCCTTCCCACGATATTCGTAGGAGAGCCTGAGGTAAACGGAGCTGCCGGGAGCACGGGAAGAAGAACCAGTCTGTTCCTACGCTCGCTTTCATAGATTTGAAGGTTTCTGAGTTGTAATTATTTTCAAAAGAGTAAAAAAAAAAAAAATGTCAACTTACATTTAGAAAGTTCATCCCTTCAAATAAGCTAATAGTGCAGGGCCTTACAGCCCTAGGCAGGGGTTAGGGAACTCCGTGATGTGCGGCCAGGCTGCCTGGGACTCGTGGGCAATCACACACAAATGTGTGCGCCTGCCCAGTACGGGGACCCCAGACACCCGGAGCTCTCCTGGGAAGACTTTCACTTCGCTGACTTCAGAGGTCCTTGGGTCTGATCTTACTCCAGATGGTCTCTACTCTGGAAGTCCCAAGATGACGTCCTGTTCCCATTGCAGTGTGCTGCCCCAGCCCTCACCTGGTGTCCAACCTCTGTTTGCAGTCAAACTCTAGGAGCCAGAGAGTGGTTGGAGGTCTCTGGGGGGACAGCAGGCTTCTCTCTCTTACCTTAGCCCTCATTCCCAGCGTGATTGGGCCACTGGCCTAGAGTTAGGAAAGGCACTGTGTGTTGAGAGCACCATTTCCAGGGGTCCCCTCTTGGGGTCTGCTTTCCAATCTCAAGCCTGACCTGGGTCAGACCCTGTCAGGAGTGGTGGGGAAGACAGCAGCTCTTCTGCATGACAAAGGGTGGCCCTGCTGGAGAGCCAGGGGACACACTGACAAGTCTCACAATCCACTATGGCTTTTCTCTTTAGCCCCTGACTGAGGTCGCCAGAATCTGCAAATAAAAGCTCTAGATACTGGTGTAATGCAAATCACAGGTAAACAATGAATAATATATTAGTGCAATCTGTCCCAAATTCAGTCCTGTTTTTTTTTCCCCAGTAGCCCTTGGATTGCTCAATTTTATTTCTCCAGTACAATTCTTCAACCAACTCACAAATCCACATTCAGGTGTTCAGCCTCTATCCTGGGGGGGGGGGGCTTAGTAGACTCTGGAGTTTAGCCACCACCATCACCAAGCCCTTCCCACTCCCCCCACTCCCACTCCCGCCTCCAGCCACGTACATTGCACTGAGTCCATCTGGCTCTCTTTAGGTGCCAGAGCAGAACTTGGCAGAAAATAACTGGAGATATTGAAAGCACTGACTAATGTGCCCCCCCCCCTTTTTTGTCTTTCAAGACAGAATTTCTCTGAGTAGCTTTGGCTGTCCTGGAACTCGCTCTGTAGACCAGGGTGGCCTGCCTCTGCCCCCAGAAAGCTGGGATTAACAGTGTGTGCCACCACCTCTCAGCTGTGGGCATTGATCTTTATATTGCCCCTTTTCTGAGTCATTATTCTCTTGGCTCAAAAATTGGGAGAGGGTGGACTTTCAACTCTAATTTCTATACAGCAAGGAAAGGAAAGGATGGAGCTTCTTACTGGCCAGTCCCAGGCTTTGTAGCCAAGGAAGGTCTACCCAAAGTAGGACATGCTGGATCAGTCCCAGAAGTCTTTTGAACACTTGGCCAGGTGTACGGCGAAGTAAGTCGGTTGGAGAGCCCAGGTGTTGATTGGTATTTGGTTCATTCCAGGGTTTGGAAGCAGCAATGAACAAGACTATAAGCGTACATTCCAGACACTGGGAACAGGCACCCGGCAGAGAGTGAGCTCCAGGACCTGCCTCCCGAGCAGCGCTGAGGCTGGATTTGGGGCTTCATGTGTGCAGGGCAGGTACTTTACCACTGAACTGTTCCTGCCCCCACCCTGAATGTCTTAACTGGTTAGGCACCCTTAAGTCAGTGTTGAGACATAGGACTAACAGACAGTGGTGACCAGATGTTCTCAGTCCAGACAGGCCTTTGTGTCTTTTCTAGACAGCCCCTCCTCAGGGCTCAGGGGCTTGTTTCATGCTGAGCTCCCAGGAGGTCCCAGGGGTGTGACCTCTCTCCTCCTTCTTCCCCACCCCCCATCCCAGGGCCAACTATAAAGCTGGTCTGCACCAGCCCTCTATAGACTCAAGACTCTTTCGGGACACACGCATCTACAGCTCCTTCCCCTGGGCATCACCATGCGTTCCCTGTGGCTCGGCTGGGCACTCTGGGTGTTGTCCCTGGTTGGCCCTGGGGCAGCTCTGACTGGAGAGCAGGTTCTGGCCAGCCTACTGCAACAGCTGCAGCTTAGCCAGCCACCGGTCTTGGACAAGGCTGATGTGGAGGGGCTCGCTATCCCCTCCCATGTGAGGGCTCAGTACGTGGCCCTGCTACAGCACAGCCATGCCAGCCGCTCCCGAGGGAAGAGGTTCAGTCAGAACTTTCGAGGTAAGCCCTCCCACGTTGTCCTTAGTCTCTAGGCAAGGCAGGCTCACAGGTCTTCCACCTGTGGTGTCAATGGGCCATGGGTTTGTGGGACTCAGAGTTTATTAGAAGGTTTATTAGAAGGAGCAGGTCCGGGAGAGTGCTGGGTCTGGGCGCTGGGGACCTGGCTGTGCACTGAAGGACCCTTGGGGATAGGAAAAGGGGGGCTAAACTTGCTGTTAAATTCAGGAGCAGAGAAGAGGAGGAGAATGGAGGAAACAGAGCCCCAGGAAAGGTCAAGGCCACATAGAACTTCCTGGGGTCACCCATCTGGAATAGTGGTGGACTGTTTTGCCATGAACAGAGAACAGTGGCTGGGTAGGGGCAGCCCTGGGTAGCAGAAAGTTCGGAAGAGTGAGAGTATAAGTATCTCATTGTCAAGACAGCAAGGGCTTGCATGGTAGCACCGCCTCTTCCAGCTGGAATCAGCTCTAGGGCACAGCCACATCCTCAGATTTACTCTCCTATGGTACCTAGGTCTGGAGACATAAGGATGCTGGTTCTGAGCAGGCGATAGTGGTGACTGCTGAGGATAGGTGTGGCTGGCCGCTCAGGTGACCATCCTGCTATCCTAGAACCTCCGGTGTTCACAGTGACTGGTGCCATTCAGGATGCGACAGCCCTTAACATTTGCCCCAGGCTCCCGCAGTCCTGATAAAGATGTCCACAGGCTCCCGTTCCTCTTTCGTGGAGGAGTCATTGACTCTGTACTCTCCAGCTGTCTTCTCCTGCGACCTTCGCTGAAGAACACTGCATTGCTGCGCTCTTGAACCCCACCAGCTCCTTCATTACTCAGGGGTTCAAAGCCACCACCAGGGGGTGGCAGCTGATAATAAAAAAGACACAACCCCACCGATTGTTTTAGTATTCAGGGTCTCATTGCAAAATTTATAATTCTTAGGTAGGGAGAGGTACTTCTTTTTCCCCGTGCTCCCATTCTTCCTATGGATTAGTAAGGAACCTTGACCTTGGGTCTTGGTGCCAGTAGAGGTCCGGCTGACTTTGTCCATTGTCCACAGAGGTGGCAGGCAGGTTCCTGGTGTCGGAGACCTCCACACACTTGCTAGTGTTTGGCATGGAGCAGCGGCTGCCGCCTAACAGTGAGCTGGTGCAGGCCGTGCTGCGGCTGTTCCAGGAGCCGGTCCCCACAACTGCTCTCCGGAGGCAAAAGAGGCTGTCCCCACACAGTGCCCGGGCTCGGGTCACCATTGAGTGGCTACGCTTCCGTGAAGACGGCTCTAACCGTACAGCTCTCATCGATTCCAGGTATAGGTTCTCTCTCTCTCTCTCTCTGGGGGAGGGGAGCAGCAGAGGATGGGATGGGGACAGGACGGGACTGGAGAGTCCTCTACTAGTAGACTGGAGACAGTCTTCCAGTCCCCTCGCCTGACGCACAGCTGTGTCGCAGGCTCGTGTCCATCCACGAGAGCGGCTGGAAGGCCTTCGACGTGACGGAGGCAGTGAACTTCTGGCAGCAGCTGAGTCGGCCGAGGCAGCCACTGCTGCTGCAGGTGTCGGTGCAGAGGGAGCATCTGGGACCGGGAACGTGGAGCGCACACAAGTTGGTCCGTTTTGCTGCTCAAGGGGCGCCGGGCAGCGAGGGGCGGGGCGAGCCCCAGCTGGAGCTGCACACGCTGGATCTCAAGGACTACGGGTAAGACGGTGTGGGTTAACTTGATAAGTGAAATCGAGAGACAAATGTGTAATTTGACTTAACTGTGAAATGACGAAGTTTCAGAGTCTGAGACTATTTAGAAAAGTCCCTCTGACTGTTAGGAAGCCCCCAGTAAATATTTTTTAGTTATTAGTTATCCGCTCCCACATAAATATCCAATTCAGTCGTTTCCTTTGACGTAGCATTTGGGCCAGAACCCAGGGCTTCACAACAGGCCAGTGTTCTCCCAGTGAGCTATATACCCAGCCCAGCAGTTCTTGAGCTGGATTTTCTCTTCTTCTTCTTCTCCTCCTCCTCCTCCTCCTCCTCCTTCTCCTCCTCCTCCTCCTCCTCCTCCTCCTCCTTCTTTTCTGAGACAGGGTTTCTCTGTGTAGCTCTGGCTGTCCTAGAACTAACTCTGTAGACACCAGGCTGGTCTTGAACTCGCAGAGATCCGCTTGCCTCTGCCTCTCGAATGCTGGGATCAAAGGCCTGTGCCACTACCGTCCAGCCCAGTGGAGAGCTGGATCTTAAGTCTCCCTCCCAGCTGCCCTGATTCTCGCCTTCTCAACTGACTCAACTGACTTCTGATGTCTCATTCCCACAGGGCTCAAGGCAATTGTGATCCCGAGGCGCCAGTGACTGAAGGCACTCGATGCTGTCGCCAAGAGATGTACCTTGACCTGCAGGGGATGGAGTGGGCAGAGAACTGGATCCTTGAACCCCCAGGGTTCCTGATTTATGAGTGTGTGGGCAGCTGCCTGCAGCTGCCTGAGTCCCTGACCATCAAGTGGCCGTTCCTGGGGCCACGGCAATGTGTTGCCTCAGAGATGACTTCTCTGCCCATGATTGTCAGCATGAAGGAGGGAGACAGGACTAGGCCTCAGGTGGTCAGCCTGCCCAACATGAGGGTGCAGAAGTGTAGTTGTGCCTCTGATGGGGCTCTCATACCCAGGAGGCTGGAGCCATAGGCAAAGGAAGTGGCCTCCCCAACGATGTGACTTTCATGTATATCTGAAGTGTTCTATTGTACTGAGAGATGGGGATTCTGAATCCTTGATGGGCTAATGCCCTGTCTGTGTTCTTTGCTGAACTCTGTATTGGAGTCCAGGCTCTTCCCCTAAATTTTACCTGTTATGAGGAATGTGACTCACTGGCCACTAGGGGGCCCTACCTAACCATCTCTGTTCTTAGAGTCACTGCACTGTATGTTAAAGCACTTAACATGTATAGTTACTGTAAGCTAAGAACAGAATTTCTAATTGCCATTGTTCCCTTAACCTGTCACTGAGCCCCAGTGACTTTGTAACTTTGTCCCTAAGACACAAGTGTATCAAACATGCTCAACCTAGGTAATACGGACTTTGCTAGATGTGAATAAAATACGTCTTGTTCTGTAACTTTTCTTGTTTGTTTTGTTGTTTTTGAGACAGGGACAGAGGCAGGTGAATCTCTGAGTCCGAGGTCAGCCTGTTCTACAGAGCCAGTTCCAGGACTACACAGAGAAACCCTGTCTCGAAAAAAAAAATCCTTCATAACTCTAGAAGAACAGGGCTCACTCCTCTTGCCCTCTTAGCCTGATACAGGGAGCCTTTTACAGCATCGTCTGTAGCATGGAGGATACCACATTTACAGAGACTTTGAAGAAATAACCAGTGCAGAATCTCAGCCCAGCGAAGGGACTTCTGAAGCCTCTCTGGCAGTCTACACAGCTAAGACTTCCACACCCTCTAGCTGTGCCCTCAACCTTCTCATCTGGATCCATTAAATAGGGGCAATCCCTAAGGTCCATGGCTCTGGTTTAAGGAACCAGCGATTCCATAATTGCTTTACACACTGACTAGCACATCCTGGCTAGTCCAACTCACGCGTTGGGTTTGTTTTTTAGACAGGGTCTCACGTTGGAGCTGCTTGGTTTTTTATTTTAGCATTATTCTTTCTTTGAGACAAAGTGTCATGTAGCTTAGGATGGCCTCCAACTCCATATGTAGTTAAATATGACCTTAAATATATATTTAAAATTAATTTGTGTGTGTGTGTGTGTGTGGAGAGAGAGAGAGAGAGAGAGAGAGAGAGAGAGAGAGAGAGAGCTAGCATGTGCTGTAGAAGTCAGAGGGCAAACTTTTGGGAGCTGGTTCCCTCCTGCAACAGTGGTTTTGCAGGGGGTGGGGGGTGGGGTCAGGCTTTTATGGCAAGCACTTTCACCCCCTGAGCCATCCTTGGCTTGGCCCTTGAACTTGAGTGTTGTGATTACAGGCTTGTACACCATGGTTGACTTCTGTGGTTCTAGGGATCAAACACAGGGCTTCCTGCACACTACCCAAGCACTCTGACAGCTTGAGCTACATCTCCAGCCCCTAGTTCATCGCTTTCGTTCTGTTTTGTCAACTGGCACCCTGACCATCACACCACTGCCTTCTCTGGACTTTGAGACAGCTGTCACCTACTGAAGAGCAGCCAGAGAAAGCCTTTTCTGCCATTATCAAGGGTCCTAACATGTTCTTTTCTTTGGTAGTGGTGCCACCATCCTAATAGGACGGGCTAGACCCCAGGACCTAGGTCAAGCAGGTGTCAGCATCATCAACAAAGGCAGAAAGTGAGGACTAAAGACGTGTGGAGTGGGAGCAGGGAGAATGGACAGAACCAATCTGAGGAGCCAGAGGAATGACCAGGGGGACCATGATAACCAGGGGTCTAGGGAAGCCAGCTAGCTGTGGAGTCTTTAACAAAGGCAGTAGCAGAGCAGGGGCGTGGCCAAGTAGAGCTAAGGGAAGACAAGGACAGAGGAAAGTTCCGAGAAATAACTGCTAGCTAGGCGCTTAAGGGAGAGAGGATGGAAGTCAGACAGAGGAGAACGGAGAGAGGAAAGACACCCTGTTTCAGATAGCCACCAGCTAGAATCAGGGACAGGAAAGCTGCCAGGATATTTTTGTCTTTACAGTAGAAGATGAAAGCCCAGGCATGGAAGCGAGGTCAGAGAAGGGGCAAAGCTGTGCCTTGGGGAACGAGGAGCAGTTCCGGCTTGAAGTTGGTTAGTGCTGGCAAGGACCCTACAGCAAGCTTTGGTTCCATTCTTTTCCTTGTGGAAACAGGCCTGCAAGTGGGTAGTTTGCAGCAGTGGCCCGGCCACAGTCCTCATTCCATTCCCCAGCACATCCAGCGACGATCCTGCCCTGGGTGAGGGGGGCAAGGCAGGTGCAGAGGCCGCTGGTTCGCTGGAAACCTCCAAGTCCCATCCAGAACACACAGCGTGTTTGGCCGCAGTTGGCAACGTTGGTGGCCCGGGCCGGAACAGTAACATGTGGTCCCAGGAACTCTAGAAATGCTGTATTTTATTTAGGGCAGGACGTAGCTTTGGAACTTTCAAGGTCTTGGCTCCTTACCGCGGCGGTTCTCTCTGTGGCTACAGATGACTGGTGCAGGGTAGGTCTACTGTGCCCCGGTGCTCCCCCGCACTGCGTCCCAACTGGGCCAGCTTATGAAGTTCCTGGGGACATTCAACCCCACACAGAGCCGATCACGAACGTTTGCAGATGCTCTCCAGCGCCGACCATCCTAGACTTGGCCCAGTGTCCTCTCAATGGGGATATGCTGGGGCACAAAGGAAAGACAGCCCCGCGACGTCCTCTCCCGGCCTTGTGCGCTTTAGATGGTCTGATCCCGACCGTAGACTTCGGTGAGGACGGCCACGCGTGGACCAGGGTTAGAGAACCACATACAGGCTCACTGCCCGGCGCACAGCCTTCGCGGTCCAGCTGGCGCCGGCGCTGGCGAACAGTCCAAATTAAGGAAGGCGTGGACGCAGTTCTGCGCATGTGCAAGAGGCGCCGGAGTTTCACTTTGCAACTTTTAAGTGGTGGGGACACTGCCCCGCCCCTCCAGGTGCGGCCAGACCACTCCTACCCCCCTCCTCCCCGGCGCGCGCGCCGCGCCACCGCCACCGCAGGTAAAGTGGGAAGGGGAGCCGAGCAGGGGGGAGGTCGCGCCCCGCCGCTCCCAGGATGTGCCGGCGGGGGTCTACTCGGGGCAGTACGCCTCGGGTCGCCTGCCCTGGCAGCTGTCGGGGTGGCAGTAGCCGGGTAGGTGGCTAGAGAGTGCCAATCAAACCCCGCGCCGCTGGGACTTCCTGACAGCCCTTGACTGCGTGGCTGACTTCCCTCCCTGTTCCTCCGCGGGCTTCGGAGCTTGTTTGCGGGGTCCGATCTCCCCGTCTAACTCGGCGGGCAGCCTCGGAGCCCTCTCTAATTCCTTACAAGGCTAGATCCGGCTAAAGCGGGCTTTATACCGTCCTGGTGACCACTCCTGCCTTGGTAGCATCGGGTGGAGGAAACCTGGGGACTTGGGGAAGGCCGGAGGAGGCGCGAGTGGAAGCGGGGGGGGGGGGGAGCTGCGACGGTAAAGAAACCACATCCGACAACTTATCCTGGGACCTGATCAGCCTGGCTACTTGAGACCTCGGGTAGGGTGGAGTTTTAGTCCCAGGCAGGGATCAACAGTTGTAGGGACTTTTGCAAAAGGGAACACATTTTCTGTCCTGAAGCTCTAGTTGGTTCGCAGAGCCAGCCCCGTGGAGGTTTTTTTTTTGGGGGGGGGGGGTGGAGATGAGATGGTGGAATACTGAGCATTCGTGTATGAGTATACTCATTGAGTATGGGATGCTGACTATTGCTAAGGGTGTGCACCTAGGCAAGGCTACTGAGGCCACAGTGACTAGTTACTTTTTTTGTTTCAAGACCGCCCCCTGCCCCTTTCTCTTAGCGATGTCTTTGGAGCACAGGTCTGCGGCACATTCAGAGCACGCTTTGCTCCGAGCCGCGTGTTCCTAGCCCTTGGGGGCTAATTTGGCTTCTTCCTCACCCCCGAGAGCCTTCAGAGCTTGGTCGGCTGCCCCTCGATGGGTGCGCTCCCCCCTCCCCTCTCAGAGCTCGTTCCTTTGAAAAGGCGAGGAAGGGCTGGTTCATTGAGAGCCTAGGGAATGTTCCTGCAGCAGCCTCTGGCTTTTCACGCAGATGGTGGGTGGGAACAAGTTGCCCCTGGCTGGAAGAGAGGTGGGTCTTAAAGGTTCCTCCTCTTTTCATTTCCCAAGTCTTCCATGTTTGCTCTGCTGCGTTTGATTTCCCCGATTCTAGCCCTTTGTGGGACGCTGGGGTATTGTGGCTGGTGGCTGCACTTGGTGTCTGCCTGATGAGGTGGGTCTGACCCTTTGCCCAGGCCACCCTCCCTGCTGGCTGAGCTCTCAGGGCTTTCCTTTTGTCTGGTTTTCCAGTCTGACTTTCCTTAAGTCAGTCTTACTGCCTGGCTCTTTTGATGGCCTCGAGCTCGCAGAGAACCACCTGCTTCTGCCTCTTGAACTCTGGGATTAAATGGGCGTACCACCAAACCCGCCTCCCTTAGTTTTTACCAAACTTTGTAAATTGTCCTGGGAAGTGTGCTTGGCAAGAGAAAAATGACTTAGGAGTGTGACTGGGCTGTTGGGGAGGGGGAAGGGGAGCCAGAGGAACCTTCCTGGGGTCAAGGCCTCTGTTTCTCCAAGCCCCTGAAACACCCCAGCTCCACCTCAGCACCTCCCTTCCCTGGGACAATGTTCCTTTGTGAGCGTTTATGAGGATGTTTTCCCCTTTCTCTTTCCAAGCCCTCCTTGTTTGCTTTGTGGCCAGTTCCCTTTCCCCAGTTCTAGCCTTAGGGGACCTTGGGTTGCTGCAGAAGCCCTCTGGGTCTGTATGAGGCTTTGGCTTGGGGTGGATGCCACCTCTAGCCCACAGCCACTGTGCTTCTGTGGAAGAGAAACCCTCCTGATTTTAGCAGGGCCTTGATCCACGGGCTGAGAAGCAGGAAGCTGGCGGGGCTGTGTGAAGAGAGAGGAACGGGGCACACAGAGGAACACCAGCAGCTGGTGGAGGTCTGGGAGTTTAGGTGAAGAGCCAGGTAGGAGGAGACCCACTGAGCAAAACCAGGATGAGAGACATCCAGCAGGTCAGAGAGTAGGAGCAGGGTGCTGTAGGACCGCTGTTCTGATTCCTAAACTGGAGGAGGATGACCCCTGTGACTTACGTGACACTGTGGGCACCTGTGTTGCTATAGGACAGTTTGTGAGGGTTGGTGTTGCAGGGGCAGGTCAAAGTGGACAGCTTAGCAGGAAATGAGAAAGCAAGAGCCTGACTCACTGAAACTAGGGAACTGGGGGGGGGGGGCTGGTCCAACTGAGGACTTCTCGCCACAGTCCTTCCTCTCTACAGTGTCTGGTAAGCATGATGAGTGGAAGGCCTTGCATCTCCAGACAGGGATGTTTCGAAGTACTGATGTCCTGGTCGCTTTTTACTTCTTTGAAGCAGCCTTATGTGGAGATTTCTGTTAGTGCCAGGGGCACCGGAAGCCTCAGGAGGTGTCAGCACTGAGCCTGGAGCCAAGTCTGTTGGGTTCAGCTTTCTATTGTAGCCAAGGCTGGTCTTAAAATCCCGATCCCCCTATTTCCTCCTTGAGTGCTGGGGTTGCAGGCCTTCCGAGACCATTCCTTATTTCCTGGGTGAGGTTTAAATGAGACAAAGCAGCTTCAAGGTGGAGGTGACATTCATGACTGTTCACAGCCACTAACCAATGGCTATAGCGCCATACACAACTTCTTCCTCCAGCCACTGCAAGTTCCTTATAGGACGCGAAAGTGATCCATTCTTAGGCCTGTCTCCCTCCCATCCTCCCCTCACTTCCTGTCAGGCACATTGCGAGAGTGTGTGTGTGTGTGTGTGTGTGTGTTCCCCAGCATAACAGTCCCAGGAGCCAGAATTGGAATTGAACCCCTACCCCCAAACCCTCCCCTCATTTGCTATCAACCTCATTGCACTGTGCGAGTGTGTGTATGTGTGTGTGTTGTGTGTGTGTCCCCCGGCACAGCAGTGTCAGGAGTCAGAATTGGGGTCCCCCTATGGATACTTTACTAGTACTTTAGGTAGTTCAGACATCTGCTTCAGTTCCCCACATCCCCACCCCGTTTTTTATCCCTAATACTTGGGTTTGGTCTCTGTAGCAGGTAGAAGAAGTGGACTTTGAGGAAGTCCTCTAGGGATTGTAACTAAAGCAGATTTGGGGAGGCGGGCACCTAAGGAGGAAGGTGTTTTCTTAGGACTCTCCACTCATAAATTGTGTGTAGAGTAGGTCAGAACGTGGGCACCAAAGTTCCCAGTCTCCAGTGCCAGGGGACTCTAGAGAGTTCCATTAGATTTGCCAGGAGTTCCAGGGGTGCCATAGCCTGCAGCTGTGTCTGCTTGAAACACTGAGCCTTCTGTTGGGGGGGGGTGTGGACGGAAGAAGGCGGAGCTAGGGATCTGCTTTGCCCTGAGCCTCACCCAGGAGAGGGCCTAGGCCTCTCCTCTCTGGCTGTGCCTCCTGCTTTTGCCTCTCTTGGGGAAGCACCATGTGAACAGTGAAGAGTCAGGTTTTTTTTGTTGTTGTTTTGGTTTTTTTTTTTTTTTTTTTTTTTTTTTTTTTTTTTTTTTTTTTTTTTTTTTTTTTTTTTTTTTTTGAGACAGGGTTTCTCTGTGTAGCTTTGGAACCTGCCTTGGTACTTGCTCTGTAGACCAGGTTGGCCTCAAACTCACAGAGATCTACCTGCTTCTGCCTCTTAAGTGCTGGGATTAAAGAAAGGCATGCACCACTACCACTAAGTGAAGAGTCAGGTGTTGAGGCTCAGTCCTGCTGCACCCAGCTTCTTGGTTTGGGGGACAAGTAGTCATAAAGTTTCAAAACTTGGGTTCCAAGTACAACCAGTCTTGGAGATCCCAGCTCTGACATTCTGAGGATAGATAGTTGGAGAGGGCTCTTGTCCTTGGCTCAGAAGAACCAGCAGTGTTCTTGGCTGTTCCCGTTCTTACCTACTGGTGTCTGAGGTTTCCTCTTTCCAGCCTTTGTGGCCCTCTCTCTTTCTCCTGCTTGTTTCTGGATGCCCTGAGGACTCTCTCTCTCTCTTTTTTTTTTTTTTTTTTTGGATTTTTCGAGACAGGGTTCCTCCATAGCTTTTGTAGACCAGGCTGGCCTCGAACTCACAGAGATCCGCCTGCCTCTGCCTCCCGAGTGCTGGGATTAAAAGCGTGTGCCACCACCGCCCGGCTCCCTGAGGACTCTTGAAGGAGTTATTTTCCCAGAAGCACTTGAGGCTAGAGGAACTTCAGCACCTCCTCATCCACAGCAGTGGCTACCTCTGACCATCCCATCCCTTTACCTCATTTACCCCTTCTCAGGGCATCTGTTCATTGTGTACCCAGGTGGGTCATGTAGTCTGACCATCTGTTCCATTCCCAGTCTCTGTGAACCCTACCCCGCACAGAGATATGGTGCTCGGCTTTCCTGACTCTATGCTGAGGGTCTCGGGTGCTCCACCTGCATGGTGGAGGGAGGAGGAGGGCCGATGACATACTCTTACCTTTGGCTGTGGCAGCCCTGGCTGGGGAAATGGAAAGTTCCCACCCTGATATTATACTTCTTGTTCCGTAGGGAGAGAAGGCAGGATGACCAGCTCCCCATTCCTGGATCCCTGGCCATCCAAGGAGGTGTCCATCAGCGAGCGCCTGGGCCTTGGGAACCATCCCAATGACTCCTACTGCTACAGCTCAGCCAAAAACAGCACTGTGCTTCAGGGGGTCACCTTCGGAGGCATTCCCACTGTCCTGCTCATAGATGTCATCTGCTTTCTGGTAAGGTCCTCTCTCAGTTTAACCTTTTACTCTCTAGGGCTGTCTAGGAACCGCACTGAGGTAGATCCACACACCCGTGCGTGCTCTGTGATCCCGGGCATGTGGTAGAGAGACCCCGAGGTCTGGAACCACTGTAATGATTCCTTCCTCGGAGGACGTGGGCCTCGTGTGGCAGTGTGGTCATGATCCCAATTGCAGAGCCACTTGCCAGGCCTATCTTGTCTTACTGGCCCTCAGCGTGGGTGGCATGAGAGATGTGAGGGCTGTTGAGGGCCAGAAATAGATTGCCAGAGCTGACCTTAGGGGGTACGTGTCCCTTTCTTTAATGTTGACTTTATGTTTGCAAAGATTCCTCCAATTGAAACAGGCGTTATTATCTTTGCAATGGCTCAACAGTGGTTGAGGTGTGTGTGTGTGTGTGTGTGTGTGTGTGTGTGTTTTAGGGATGGAACCCAGGGCATGTGCATACCCTGCAGGTACTTTCCTACTGAGCCACATCCCAGCCCAGTTAGTTTAGATTTATTGGGATTAATGCACTTTTTTTTTTTCATTAAGACCCCCCAGAGCCGTGCCTTCCTTGGCTCTAGCATCTAGGAGTAGAGAATGGGATAGATGGGAGGGTGGAGTTCATATCTTAGGTCTGCCCAGGACTAGTGGCTAAGCTGAGTAGGAAAGCTAGGAAAGGAGGGGAGGCAGTCGGAGGACTCCAGTTCCTGCCCGGCAGGGGCAGAGGGTCCCACACCCACGGCTCCTGACCCTATAATTGACCGCACAAGGTTTCTAGAGCGGAGGTCTACATTGTTGCCCTTAAAATTCGCTACATTGTTGCTCGTCAGGTCTGATACAGGAAACTGCTTGTTCTCACCTTGGTTTTCGCCAAAAAGGGAATCTCTACTATCATTGAACGTTCTCAGCTCCATCCTATTGGCAGGAGAAAAACAGTTCTCCATGTTTGTGGGACTTGGCCAAGAGGGTGGAGCAGGCAAGGTGTGGCAGTATACTGAAAGGGGGTGGGGTCAATGCCCTCAGGATGGAGAGAGCTAGGCGAAGGTGAAGGCCTGAAGAGTGCTGTGGAGAGCCCAGGTGGGCTGGGTAGCTGCTTAGGAAGAAAGTCACTTTCCTGTGGACTGTGCCGGTAGGGGTGATTTTCTTTTTCATAAGGGACAAGGTTTCACTATGTTGCTGAAGCTGATCTCTGAACTCCTGGCCTCAAGCAATCCTCCTGCCTTAGCTACTCAAATAGGTGGGATGACAGATTTATAACAACCACAATGAATTTTTTCCTCTCAAGACAGGGTTTCTCTGTGTAGCCCTGGCTGTCCTGGAACTCACTTTGTAGACCAGACTGGCTTCAAATGCAGAGGTCCACCTGCCTTTGTCTGGGATTAAAGGCATGCGTCACCACTGCCTGTCTAGGAGTGTAGATTTTTATTGCAGGAACTTACGGGTTCAAGCGGGGGCCATATGCAAGCCAGAGGGTCCTAGAAGACCTAGGTACAGGAAGATGTCCACACTGTGTGCGCAGAGGCAAGGGAGCAATGGCAGAGAGAGGGTGAGCACATGCTGAGGGGCTTGTGTTTGTCCTACAGGTGACTCATCTGCCTTTGAAAATACGTCATCCGCTCTGGACTTACCTTAAGAAAATCTCACAGAAACTCAGGGCTTATGGATTTCCCTTAAGGGAACAACATTGACCTTTAAAACCCCAGTTTCTAGGCAGGGCCTCTCTCAATAACCTAGTATGACCTAGTACTGACCTAGAACGTCTAAGGCGCCAGGTTCCATCCCAGCACTAAATAAACACATACATAAATAAATCCAGCTTTTGACCAGAGCAGGCAAGCCTGTGCTATTCAGGATGCTTCTTTCCCCATCTCTGAATCTCAAAGGTGCCTGTGTAGTTGGGGGAGAGCTGGCCAAGGTGGAAGTAAAGGGCCTGGGGAGCCAGGTAAGCATCTCAGACATCTAGAGCGAATAGGAGAAAGCGGCCTCACTCTCCTCTCATGGGGCTGCTGGTGCCACACAGGCCTGTTCACCTCTCCCTGCTCTCTGGGGTTGGGCCAGCCTGGAGTGCCAGGGCGTGCCAGGGCTCATGGGGTGCTCTTGCTGTGTGTCTGCAAACTTGCCTTTAGAAGAAACAAATGCAAAGAATCTGACTTAAAATAAAATAAAATATAATTAAGAAAAATCAAGCCAGGTGCATTCCCCTTAGTCCCAGCTACCACTGGCTGAGGCTGGGGGATCACTTGAACCTAGGGGTTAGAGGCAAGCCTGGGCAATCTAGTGAGGGCTTGTCTCTAAGAACGCGGTTTGGGTGAAGTAAAGGGGAGAGCGGTTTTTCAATCAGGTGAGGTCAGACCTCATCTTCTGATTGGGGTCGGCTGCAGCTGATGTACTTGAGTAGGAAGACGTCACTCAAGCCTGTGGCAGTGTGACAACGTTGGTGACTTGGCACAGGTGGTGGAGAAAGGTGTCAGGCTGCTAAGCTGTGGGTTATTTCTGGGCCAGATGGGTTCTTCTAGCCCGCTGAGTCTGGCCGTCCCCAGAGCCCGGCCAGTGTTCTTTAACTTAGTGTTTTTTTTCCCCCTTTTAGTTTTTAGTACTGGTGTTTTCCTTCATAAGGAGAAGATTCTGGGATTATGGCCGCATAGCCCTGGTATCAGAAGCAGGCAGGTAAACAAAACAAAGCATTTCACCGAGAATGTGAGCACATCTACACACCTCTGAGTGTGAGTGCTATGTATGAATATGTGTGCTTTGTGCATATATGTGTGTATGTAAGTGCATATTTGCTTACATGTGTGTACATGTACATGTCTATTCGTATATGTATGTGTGTTTCTGGGATGGGCTGGAGTCAGAAGCTCTAGCTTCCTTTCTGCTGGTCACCAAAGACCCCTTAGAGGCCTCCCTTCTTAGAGTGTGCTCAGGGAAACTAATGCTGGAGATCCCCTCTCTCCCCGGGCTCTGGTTTCCGGCTGTGGAGGATCATCGTTACTTTTAGGATTTTTGTCACCAGGGAAGGCAGATAACATTTCCTTCCTCACTTTGGACGCAGCTCTCTGAGAACGTCATGTCTGAAGTTAATTCTTGCTCTGCGACTTAGTGATCAAGAAGGAAGGCAGGTGTGGGGAAGCGGCCCACCTTCCTTCTGGTCAGGGCTCAAGTTGGACAAGCCTGCTAACCAAACACAGGCTCTCTGGCCAGACCTCAGGCCTTCCCAGTTCTTCTTTGGGTGGGGACAGCTCTGTGAAGATGAATCCTAGAACTGGATTTTCCTGTTTGGTCTGGTTGCTTGAGCCTCTGGAAGGGGTGTCGGCTGAGGCAGCAAGAAGGGAACGGGAGATAGCCCCACTTTCATGTCTATCCCGGGGGCCCCACTTTCATGTCTATCCTGGTGGCCCCCACTTATATGTCTATCCTGTGGCCCCCATTTTCATGTCTATCCTGGGGGCCCCACTTTCATGTCTATCCTGTGGCCCCCACTTTCGTGTCTATCCCGGTGGCCCCCACTTTCGTGTCTATCCCGGTGGCCCCCACTTTCGCGTCTATCCTGGTGGCCCATTGCTTCAGCTTTTGAAACGTTGCAGTGGTGGGGTGATGAAGGGTGGCACATTTAGAGAGAGGCTTCCTTTCCCCCCAAAAGATCCCTTCAACTGTTCCACTCAGCTTGGGCCTGAGCATGAAGATCCCACCTCAGGACACAGCAGCGGCCGTGGGAGCTATCTTCTGTGGAAATGGTTTACTTTCCGACTCTTGAGGACACATCTTTCCAGACAAGGCTATTTTGCTCTTCTCTTCCCTCCATGTCACTGAACTGGGGAGGGAGGGGGCATCTTATTCTCGGACAAGGGGTCTCGGAGGACACTTTGAGACAAATATGTTTGGATCTGAAATGCCGCAAGAGGTGGGGTAAGCAACCCCTCTTCTAGAGCCAGCTCCTCAGTAAGCTCAAACAGGACACAAGGCACTTCACTAATATAATATATCACAGCCGGGCGGTGGTGGCGCACGCCTTTAATTCCAGCACTTGGGAGGCAGAGGCAGGCGGATCTCTGTGAGTTCGAGACCAGCCTGGTCTACAGAGCTAGTTCCAGGACAGGCTCCAAAGCCACAGAGAAACCCTGTCTCGAAAAACCAAAAAAAAAAAAAAAATATATATATATATATATATGTATGTATATATATATAATATATCATATACCTTGGCCAAAGCGCTGAGCTCCAGGCTCAGTGAGAGACTCTCTCAAAATATAAGATGAAGAGAGGCTGAGGGAGATGCCAAATGTTGGCCCCCAGTCACCACATGTGCGTGCATGTATATCTTTACCTTAGCACATGTGCGCATGCACACAGACACAGACACACAGATACACACAGACCAGACACACACACACACACAGATGCTACCATATTTAACATGCCAGTTCATCCACTCTGAGATGCACACTTGAGTGTTTTGCACCTTTAACGGTAGAATTGGGACGCCTCTTATTTTGTCGTTGTTGAGAAAAATGTATCCTATGCCCTGGCCTCACAGGTTGGCCTTCTTTGAACTTGGGATCCTCCTGTCTCGGCCTTCAAGTGAGTAATGGGATAATTACAGGTGTGCACCACCATGCCCAACATGAGATTATTGGTTATAGCTTAATTGGCACCATTGTTTCCTTCTTAATGGTTCATTAAGAAACCTAACCACTGCTGGTGTCTTGGATTAGATAAAATACATGCGTATTTTTTAAATAATTTTTATAGTTTCTATCTTATGTGAATGTGTGTTTTGCATGCATACATGTCTGTGTATCACATGTGTGCTTGGTGCCCACAGAGGACAGAAAGGGGTGTCACGAGAGGGTGTTGGGTCCTCTGGGACTGGAGTTACAGATGTTTGTGAACCACCATGTGGGTGCTGGGAATTGAATCCAGGTCCTCTGGAAGAGCAGTCAGCGTTCTTAACTCTCCAGTCCTGTGTGTGTGTTTTGAAGTGAATCCATCCCAACGATGAGGCCTCGCAAGTATTCTTTCTTTTCCTTAGCTTACTTCCTGGGTAGGAGGAGGGGCCATTTATTCCCCTGCTACATTCTGTTTCTGTGACCACTCTTTCTCAGGCTCTTTTCTCTGGAACGAAGCCTCTGTGTATTGCCTGTCATTCCAGTCACTTTGGTAGGATAAAATGCAGCATTCTAAATTGATTTGGATGTCTTAGGAAAGGCACTGTAAACAGGCAACATTCTGAAGTTCCTTTAGGTGGGACCAGTTCAGTGCTGAGGTTGGAGGGTGTACACACAGGTTCCTTGATGCCCCCTGGCCCTGTGCTGTTCAGCCCATAAAACAAAGAGTTTTATGCCATTTGGGTTTGTGGGCATTGCCTCTATCTTTGTTTTTGAGCAGTTTATATTTGCTGCAACTATTGAGAATCAATGGCCTTGATCCTGAACTCTAAGGTTAGAAAGCAAGATACTGGACATGTATATTCAACCTTTTTGAATTTTAGAATTATTTATCTTTTTTTCCCCTTTTATGTCTCCAGTGAGGCCAGATTCCAGAGGCTGTCATCTTCTTCCTCAGGGCAAGAAGACTTTGAAAATGAACTGGTTGGTATCCAAGGGATGGTTGTTTCTGTGGCCTGAAGGGCAGAGGGTACACGTATCCAAGGGATGGTTGTTTCTGTGGCCTGAAGGGCAGAGGGTACATGTAGCCTGGCGGTAATGATTGATGGAGGACTGGACAGTAGTTCTGGTTCAGTGACTAACAGCAGCACTGCGGTCTATGGGCGTGGTCCACACTGGAGGGAGCCGCCCTCCGTATGCACAGAAACACGGGGACTCGGAAGAAGCTGGAAGGAGCCAGTGTTTAAGTGATCCCTCACCGCAAGGCTCCATTCACTACAGGCAGAAAATACTGTGGATCCCCAGGGCTTTGCCAGCAACTTGACTGTGACTCATGAGTTGCTCCTCTCTCACACTTACGGTTCTGTGTAAGAGTTAATTATTGACTCAGCTGCTAGATGCTGAGCCAATGTGGGCAGGAACCCGGCCTCATACAGCCTTGTCCCCCAGCACTAGGTATCTGGGAAGTACTTAGTCATTGTTGAATGAGCAGATATTTGTCCTTCCCAGCAGGCAGCCACCTAGCTATGAGTAGTAGGACACAAGAGATCACAGGATCTACACGCACTTCTTCCCTCTCCAGGGCCTGCTCTGGGGTACTTTCCAGTTCTCTAGACTTGTTCCTGTTCTCCCCCCCCCCCCACTCTTTTTGCCATTTGGGAATAATTTTACAGAAGTTCACATTATTTTTCCTGGCTCTTGATTGAAGCTTTGTGATTTGACCCTGGAGCTTATATAATGCCACTGATTTTGACAAAACTTAAAGGGTTTTTAGCAAGGTTGTGTCTTTTTTTTTTAAAGTTCCACCCTCCCCATGGGGATGTGACTTGCAAAGGATGAGAGCCTGAGGGAGTCATTGATCAAATGTGTGAAGGAAAACCCTGTTTTACCCAGCAGGACATGGGATGGTTATTTAATCTCAAAGATGTGATCGTATCTGCTTCCCAAAGACATAGGTGTTGGATGCTAATGCCTGTTCTCTGTCTCTAGGGATGCTGCCCTTGGCTGACTGCCATCTTCCGCCTGCAGTGAGTAAGACAGGGGTATCTGCCAGGGCACGTGACTGTGTGTGGGTGTTCGATTATTCAGGAGGATGTAGCTGAGATGTTTGATCCTGTGATGGTGTCTTGCATACTTTTCCAGCTCAGGACCCCAACAGGGTATCAGGGCTAGAACAGAAGTGGGTGGGAAGCCCCTGTAGTCAGGGTACAGGGGAGAAGGAGGTCTTCCAGGCACACAGCCTTACTGGTACTCAGGGATCCCCACACTGCAGATGGATTTCAAAGGTTCTTGAAACTTAAACTTTATTTATAAAATATTTCATGTTGGAGAGATGGCTCAGGGGTTAAGATCACTGGCTGCTCTTCCAGAAGACCTGGGTTCAATTCCCAGCACCCACATGGCAGCTCATGGAGTCTGTGACTCCAGTTCCAGGAATATGGTACCCTCACACAGGCTTCTCCGCCTGACCTTGGGCCCAACTCCCATCAAGCTCCACCATTTACAACAGGGTCTCTCACATATTAGTTCACAGGAATTGGCCTCCTCTGTGGATTTTTATTGTCTTTCACCAGTTCTAAGATGGCCTTTTTCCCGTATTTCCACTTATCAGAAAGGAGGAGCTGCAGCTGTAATCGTGGTTGCTCAGCTGCCAGCACTGTCTTGTTTGTAGTGTGACACATAATGACATGTCTAACAGGGATGACTATGTAGACTTTGGAGTGGACAGCAACAAGTGGCAGAGCCAAGAAAGACTCCTGCAGCGCTGATAGCTGGCTCCTTCCAGCACAGGAAAAGTGACTAACCAGGCCTTTATCACCGAGTATTTCTTAGATTTCTCTCCTTAATTCCCACGTTTTGGAAGGAGAGAGAGAGAGACAGAATTTTGAACTAAATAAGGTGGCTGTATGGATACGGGATTGATCCCAGAGCTTCATGCATAGTAGGCAAGTGTTCTACTTCTGAGTTAGATCCCTAACCTTTAGCAAGTATATTTATTTTCCCATTAACTCACTTCAACACATATAAGCCTGTCTAGTAGAGTTCCTTTCCTGATCCAGTCACTGTTAAATATTAAGTAGAATAATTTCTTCCTAAAGTAAACCAAAACAAAACTTTAGTTAGCTTGCGTAATATTATAAAAGAAAAAGATAACGGGCCGGGCGGTGGTGGCGCACGCCTTTAATCCCAGCACTCGGGAGGCCAGCCTGGTCTACAAGAACTAGTTCCAGGACAGCCAGTGCTGTTACACAGAGAAACCCTGTCTCAAAAAAAAAAAAAAAAAAGAAAAAGAAAAAAAAAGATATCATAGAATGAAACATGTTAGTTTGCCTCAGTTTTCCCACCTGTTGAGTGGGAGTTCTGTGGGAGTTGTAGCTGAGGTTGTGGGCAGGAGGCAGAGTTATTGGGAGAAGCCAGAGAACTTGTTGAAGCAAGAGGAACCAAGTGGGTGTGTGGGTGGCTTGCTTAGAAGTGCAAAGGTGTTAATTGCAGAGCTCACTCTGGAGTGAAACACTGAGCGAGCCTGAGACCCACTCGCCCCTGAGCACCCTTGGGAGTGGGTGCGCTCTTTGTTCATTGCGTCCTTGAGCTCTGCTGGGCGGATGAGGTGGGAAATGGGCGGTTAGTTCCGCTGAGCCCGGTCAGCACAAGGTGCTGGGATGCAGGGCCCGCGCAGCGTTGTGTAAGCTTCTTCAAGCTTCCAGACTTGCTTCTCTGGGTTTACCACATAGGGCTTTCTTGGTCTCTGCTGTGTGCAGAATATTCAGGAAAGAGCAGGTGGAACACCTGGCCCTCCTCCCTTTATGGCAAGAAAATCCCCGACTGGGATTTTCCAACTGACCCAGGAATTTCTGTGGGTCGGAAGGCAGATCAGGTCATTTCCTCATCTCTGGGGCCATGGCAGGGACAGAGGGAAGGAGTGATATACTTGGATGGAATGACATAATATGTTCAAAACATGGCTCCTCTTATTCTCCCAGCCCTTCCTGGGGTGGGGGGATGGGAGAGAGGGTGAGAAGGAGGGCCCAAGTACTCCGCACTGTGTTCCCCAAATGGCTTTCAGCAGCCATCTTGTGGTGGAAGCAAAAGGTGTACCACACGCCTCATCCGTTGTATAATGGGCAAACAGATGTTTTTAGCAGCAGAACACGGAGGATGGCAAGCCCTCTGCTGAGAGCATGGTGTTGGGACTGGAGGTGGCCCCAGAACTCATGCCAGTGGCTTTGCAAGTTGTGTGACCCTTAAAGCTCTATGGTTTTTCTGTGCGTTTGTACCCACACATCAAAGGGAAGGATGGGGGCTAAAAACACTGTCTCCTACAACAGTCGTAAGGGTTGGATGAAAACTCCGCTCGGGGCCTTGCAGGCCTGGCCTCCTGTCGCTCCCTGTTAAGAATGTCTCCACGTGTGTGTCTTGGCCAGCGATGACCAGATCCTGGAGTGGTGTGGGGAGGACGCCATCCACTACCTGTCCTTCCAGAGGCACATCATCTTCCTGCTGGTGGTGATCAGCTTCTTGTCCCTGTGTGTCATCTTGCCTGTCAACCTCTCGGGAGACTTGCTGAGTGAGACCCTTTCTTGCCCATTGTCTGTGTTGGGAGGGAGTGGGGCATTGACTCTGTGGAAGGGACTTGGTAGAGTGGGATGTGAGACAGTCTTAGAGTGACTTTGAGAAAATTATCACCCAAATAAAGATCTGGAAGAGAATCCATCCAAGTCTGGGCTGGGAGCTGGGGCCCCTCATCAAGTTTGGTTCTAAGTTGGGGAAAAAAATCAACCCCGGTGCAATAGAATTGGAGGTTTCAGCAGCTGTGTTTTTGCTTGTTTTTTTTTTTTTTGAAAAGATCCTACTATGTAGTCCAGGCTAGCCCTCCCTCACCCTCTTGAGTGTTGGGATTATAAATATGGCCTCCACTCCCAGCTTCAAAATCTATTTTTCAACTTCCTGCCCTTACCCAAGCCCAGAGGTTACTATTCACGGACCCAGAAGATAACTGTGATACACAGTAAAGTCATTGTGGAATTATATCTTCTTAGCTCCCAAAATGCCATTCCAGAACCACTTGTGACATCTAGTGTTTTTCAACCTCGAGAACCTTGAGTTGGTAACAACCAAGTATGCTTCTAGTTATCATCAAAGCATCTTTAAAGCAAACCTCAGTGCAAAATGAACTTAAATTCTGACTTTGCTGGCACAATAATCTGTAGCAGAGGTCCTGGGTGATGGAGCTTTAAATAGGTTGATGAATGATGTCGTTGCCTTCCATGTCTAGGAAGACACACCATGTCTAGGCATCTTGTGCTGTGCCTCCCTGAGCTATAGAACTTTTCTCACTGTGACCCTGGACCTAATTGTCTGTTTCTCTGCAGATAAAGACCCGTACAGCTTTGGGAGGACGACAATAGCAAACCTGCAGACCAAGTGAGTACGGAGCTTGTTGTCCACAAAGGAGGCTGGTTTGGGAGCCTGGAGCAGCTGGAAACACCTCAGTGCTACTGGGTTGCTGGGCTCTGGTGTAACCATGTCCTGGGAAGCTTCAGGTTTGCAGGAGGCATAGAGCCCCACGTCAGGACAGGGAAACTGTGGTGTGACCATGTCCTGGGAAGCTTCAGTTTTGTAGGGGGTGTAGAGCTTAGTGTAAGAATAGGGGTCTCCCTGAAGTATTTGCTCACTGATGGGGGCCGTTGACTACATGGCATCTGTTAGAGGCAGAGCTATTGGCTCTTGGCAAGGTACCCACTGAGGGTGATCCCTCCCCACCCCTGCAACCTGTCCCTTCTGTTGGGATGCCCAACCCTGACAGCAGGTGATGTCTTCCTTAGCAATGACCTCCTTTGGCTGCACACCGTCTTCTCCGTCATCTACCTCTTCCTCACTGTGGGCTTTATGTGGCATCATACACGGTCCATCAGATACAAGGAGGAGAGCCAGGTGAGTGAGGCTGGGGCCTGGGACTTGTTCTGGGAGGGTCTCAAGTGAGCGATGGAGGGGATAGCTCCCAACGTCTCCACAGAACCACATCAGTAGTGAACGTGGGGGGTGCTCTCACCTGGCATTACCACCACCACCACCAATCAGTATATATTTTTTAAAGTTAGGGTCTTGTGTAGCCCAGACTTGAGCTAGCTATGTAGCTAAAGGTGACCTTGAACTTATGATCATCTTGCTGCTACCTTCCAAGCGTTAGGAATATAGGCATGCATCAATATACTCAACTTATTATTATCATTTAATTTATTGGTAAGCTGTAATTTGGACATTTTTCTTCAGTTTGCCAGTTGCTATTTGATCTGTGGGGTCAGGGTTGTAGTTACTGCTATGAAGTAGACAAGTACATTGAGAACTGAGCGTGAGCCGAGCGTAGAGTGCTTGCCTGCCGTGTGCCAGGCACTGGCTTTGATAACCCAGCATGCCAAAACAAAATAAAATGCCCATCCCATTTTAGCTTCCTTTGTTAGTTACTGTGATAAATACCATGATGCAAAGCAACTTAGGGGAGGAGAAAAGTTTATTTAAGCTTATACTTCCAGAACATAGTCTATCATTGAGTCTTGGCTGGAACTGAGACAGGAACTCTGGGAGAATACTGCCTACTGGCTCATCACTCCCAGGCTGATGGCCTTCTATACAGTTCTGGACCACTTGCTTAGGGATTGGCGCCACCCAGAGTGGGTTGGGCTTTCTGACATCAACCATCTATTTTGACAGTTTCTCACAGATATGGCCACAGACCTGTCTGCTCTGGGTGATTCCTCAATTGAGGTCCTTTCCTCCCAGTTGACTCTAGGTTGTGTTAAATTGACAAAAACAAAACAAAACAAAAAAATTAAAACAAAAAACTAATCAGCACCCCATCCCCAAGCCAGAACAGTGTGGGTTAAGGACAGGTGCCCCACTGTGTCTTGGTTTCAACTCCTTTGCTTTGTTGCCTGACCCCTTTGAGCCGCTGTTACTCTCTGGGCTCTCTCAGTTCCCTGCCCTGCAAAGGAGGCTCAGGAGTTGCTTTGGAAAAGGAGGCAGCATAAATAACCCCTGGGCCTCTTCAAGGCCAAGAGTAAGAAAACTTGAACCTTTTATCTACATGGTTTTCCTTCTTGAGACATGAAGGAGGTAACACCTACCCTTCCCTCATCATCCCGTGACTTGTCTCTGTGACTTTCTTCTTGATATGGTCCCCGGCAGGTGAGACAGACCCTGTTCATCACAGGGCTCCCCAGAGAAGCCAGAAAGGAAACTGTGGAGAGCCACTTCCGGTAAGAGAAAGACCTTGTGAGCCACTCATGGTGAACAGGGTTGTTGTACCGGAGCCTCTGAGGCCTGTGCTGAGGATGGACACCTGTGTTGTCTGTCTGGCTATTGCAGGACTAATCCCTCCCTGCCATAGGTATCAAGTGACTTCCAAGTGTGTTGCTGCTGAGCGGTGCAGTGGCCTGGCGCGGGTGTGGGGTGTGCGTGGGGAGGTGTACTCTGTGGCTGTTGTGGTGAAGCCTCCGGGATCCAGGATCCAGAGTGCAGGCACAGAGAGTGTTCACGCAGAGCTGGTCTCCCAGGCCCGGGAATGTTGGCCGTCCGTTGGGAGAGCCTCTGACTGTCAAAGGCTCTGGGACAACCTCTGCAGCCGTAGCTCCTGCAGGCAGAGCAGGCGATGTGTACAGCCACAAGCACAGGGAAAGCTCAGGTTCAATTCCTAGCGAAAAGAGCAGCTCCAAGGCTCCCCTTCATCCTGGTCAGCTCTGCCATCACTGACTCCTAGCAAATACTAGGAGTTAGCTACAAATTAACTTCGTGCAGTTTATGACAAAAACACTAGGAAATAATTAGTATAAACAGAACTATAAAAGGATGTTTAAAATTATTGCCAAATCTCTCCTTCAGTAGCTACAACTATTTTTGGAAATATTTACATATATTTACATATGTATGTGAATTTATTTGCATATTCACTGGATAAGAGAATAATTTTTCTGTTCCTTGAGAAATATTCCTCTAAGTTGCCTGCCAGGCAGTGTTTGGAAACACTGAGTCTACTTCATGCACACACTTAAGTAGAAAAACAAGTGTCCTCATTGCCAGGCAAACACTGTGACTCAGACTTTCCCTGTTCTAGGAAGCCTTCCTGGGGAAGGCTGTTGCAGTGCCTTGTGGACTTGTGGGCTTGCTCTGCAGCGGGGCCACTTTCTCTGGAATCCCTTCCTCAAAGCGTTTTCTTTTCATTTTTCTGTGGTTCCGATTATTGAATCTTGCTAGACAACGCCGCTACCACTGAGCCACATCCCCAGTCCTCCCCTGGCTCTTGCTGGGATCTGAAATGGTCCTACTGACCAACAGATTAGTTGGTTCCTCCGTGGGAACCCTCTCACACACTCACTAAAATCTAAGCTGAAGCAGGCTCTGCTCCCAGCACCCAGAATAGCAGCAGGCGGTGCTCATGTGGGCCCGGAGTCCTCAGGAATCACGGGGACAGTCTTTTGTATATGGCACAGGGCCATTTTGTGGTAGCTATTGGCTGACCTTGCAGCTAGGCTGCCTAGCTTCAGCTTCTGGCTCAAATATTCACTCACTGTGTGACTCTGAACATACAGTGCTTACCCTTGGTGATGCAGGCGTTTTGTTGACTGTTAGTAAGTATTTGGATGGTTTCCAGCTTGAGGGTGTTTTGCTATTCTTAGACCCTCTAGAGGGTCTATTGCCTTCAGAAAGGTTATGGGCAGAGTGGATTTCAGCAGTAGCGTAAGGTAGATACATCCCTAGAACAGACGACAGTCTCTGTCTTTGGGTGGCTGGGGAGGATAGTGGTGCTGGGGATGGAACCCAGGGCCTTGTGTGTGCTAAGCACTCCACCCCTGAGCCACACCTCAGGCCTGTTGTATTCGTATTTCCCCATGAGCAATTCCTCCCAACCAAAAGTTGAGTAAGTATAAATTTGTCAGTTCAAGGCAATTACTTTCATATTATTGAAAACTATGCCTCTGGGGCTAGGGATATAAAAAGTGATAGAACATATATTTAGTATTCACGCGGCTGTGGGTTCAATCCCTGTCAACACACACACACACACCACACCCCCCTCTTGGTATTAAACTTCAAAGGAACAGCTGGCATGCAGCAGCAGCGTGAGTCCATTGCAAGGGCAGGGAGGGGCGCTCATTTCTACAGGGACCTTCTCTTTCAATGGCTTTCTCTACCCTGCCTCGCCGGCCACAGGGATGCGTATCCTACGTGTGAGGTGGTGGACGTCCAGCTCTGCTACAGCGTGGCGAAGCTGATGTACCTGTGCAGAGAGAGGTAAGGGAGGTGATGCCTGAGCTCAGCTGCAGCTTTCCCACCTCCTGCCCCGAGATGCTCACCTGCTTCCTTGCTGGGACCCTTCAGCTGGCCAGGGGAGGGTGGGCCTGCCTCTTCCTGGGTCTCAAAGCTAAGTTCCTGACCCTGCTGGTGGGGACTTGTTGGCTGTGGCACGGCCCCAGAACCATGAGTCTGAGTTTGAGCCTCACTCCTACCGTACAGGAAGAAGGCAGAGAAGAGCCTCGCCTACTACACAAGCCTGCAGGCCAAGACAGGCCGAGTGACCCTCATCAACCCCAAGACTTGTGGCCAGTTCTGCTGCTGCGAAGTGCAGGGCTGTGAGCGGGTGAGGCATTGCCACCTACCTGCCTGGAGCAGGGGACAGGCATGGGTGCCCTGACACCTGCACAGGGTCACATCACCCAGGGGCTGTATCTTCTGGCAGGAAGATGCCATCTCTTATTACACCCGAATGAATGACAGACTGCTGGAGAGAATTACTGCTGAGGAGTGCCGGGTCCAGGACCAGCCCCTAGGAATGGCCTTTGTCACCTTCCGTGAGAAGTCCATGGCTACTTTGTGAGTACGACAGAACACCTCATCCCTCATGGTCCTTACTGACCCTCCCAGGCTGATGTGGCCCAGCCCCACAGCTGAGCTTCCACCAGTGGCTCCAGTCCACACTGCCGTTTGTGTGTAGCAACCTGCCAGGTGGATTGAAACTCAGAACCCAGGGTCCTGCTCTGTCTCTTGACAAGTGGACAGCTATGGGGACCCCGTGGAACACTCTGGGTGTCCGTAGCTACAGAATCCTGGAGCTGCAAGCTTATGAAGCTCTCTCAGGCTTCTGACCTTAGTGTCACCACACCTTAGAGCCCTGAGTGTATAGGGTTCAGAGAGGATGCCAAAACTCTTGTGCTTTCTGCGCCTCAGGCATGGTGGCTCTGGGGATGGTCTCTGGGATGTTACCAAGGGCGCTGGCCTCTTCTGTAGGAAGAGGAGAGGTGTAGCTCTGAGGTAGCAGTGAGATTCTGTGGGTTTAGCCAAAGCGAGGAACTTGAGATGGCAAGGGTAGGCCATGAATCCTAGGAGAAAACTTCAAGAGTGGGCAGTATGTAGTGCGACCTGGGGACACAGTGAGGGCTGGGAAGTGGAGCCGCTTGGCTGGCACAGAGTCAGCTTTATGTTCCAGTGTTACAAGGAGGCATAGAGGGTGGCTCCTTGGAGGCACACTGTAGTAGGGCAGTGCAGACAGTATGGAAGTGGGCCGGATATACGCAGACGCTAAACCTAACGTGCTGGGCCTCGGTTTCCCTGTCTGTAAAATGATGCAGCAACCTGTTGCTTGCAGAGTCGTGTTGAGGATGAATCAAAACCCTCTGCAGCGTGGCAGGAATGGCAATTCTTTCTGATTGTTTGAGACAGGATCTTAAAATAGTTCAGACTGGCTTGGAACTCACTATGAGACCAAGGCTGTAATGGACTAAACTCTGAAGCTATAAGTCAGCCCCAACTAAGACAGTAGACAAGGCCATGAGCCTTAGTTAGGACTTCTTCTTCGTTTTTTGAAACTATTTCTTTTTATTTTATGTGCATTGGTGTGTATGTCTGTGTGAGGGTATTGGATCCCCTGAACCTGGAATTACACACAGTTTTGAGCTGCCATGTGGGGGCTGGGAATAGCACCAGGGTCCTCTGGAAGAGCAACCAGTGCTCTTAACCACTGAGCCATTTCTCCAACCCTTAGTTAAGCTTTCTATTGCTGTGAAGAAACACTATGGCCACAGAAACTCTTTTTTTTTTTTTTTTTAAATATTTTTCAGGACAAGGTTTCTCTGTGTAGGCCTGGCTATCCTGGAACTCACTTAGTAGATCAGGCTGGCCTTGAACTCACAGAGGTCCACCTGCCTCTGCCTCCAGAGTGCTGGTATGCCACCACTGTCTGACTACAACAACTCCTATAAAGGAGCACATTTAATTAGGGCTGGTTTACAGTCTCAGAGTTTAGTCCATTATTATGGAGGGAAGCCTGGTGGCATGCAGGCAGACATGGTGCTGGGGAAGGAGCTGAGAGTTCTGCATCTGGATTCACAGGCAGCAGGAAGAGACAGCAGAGTCACACAAGGCTTGGCTTAAGCTTCTGAAACCTCAGAGCTACCTCCCTAGTGATGCACTTCCTCCAACAAAGCCACACCCACACCAACAAGGCCACACCTCCTAATAGTGCTACTCCCTAATGACCCATGGGGCTCATTTTATTCAATCCACCACATCTGCTCATGATCCTCCTGCCTCAGCCTCTCCAGTGCTGGGATTGCAAGTGTGTAGCACACCAGACGTGGGTCTCTCCGAGCAATAATAATAGGATAGTAACAATGGTGCAGGCATCCTGTGCTCGCCTGTGTTCTGTCTGTGGCTGCTGTGGCAGTGTGTGGCACACAGGCAAACCGCACAGTAACAGCTTCTGCATTTCTCGACAGCATCCTGAAAGACTTTAATGCCTGCAAGTGCCAGGGCCTTCGGTGTAAAGGGGAGCCCCAGCCATCCTCCTATAGCAGAGAACTCTGTGTCTCCAAGTGGACCGTTACCTTTGCCTCGTACCCTGAGGACATCTGCTGGTAAGTTCCCAGGAGGGTGGGAGAAAGACCTGGTTTTCTGCAGAGCTTGGGGAGTGGGTAGAAGGATGGGGCATTGGGAGTGGGGGGGTGTTGCCTGGTTACCTGGAGTATAGATGTGGTCTGGCTTTTTTTTTCTTAAAGAAATATTTATTTCTGTGTGATAGTGGCAAATACCTTTAATCCCAGCACTTCAGAGGCAGAGGCAGGTGGATCTCTGTAAGTTTGGTCTACTGAGCAAGTTCCAGAATAGCCAGGATTGTTGCACAGAGAAACTCTGTCTCAAAAAATCCCCCCCAAAACACCCACTGAAACAGTTTACCTGAGCTAATGGGAGCTCACCAACTTCAGCCATACAGGGAAGGAACAAGCATAGGACCAAACTAGGTCTCTGAATGTGGGTGACAGTTGTATGGCTGGGGCAGTCTGCAGGGCCACTGGAAGTGGCTCCAGGATTTATCCCTATTGCTTGTATTGCTTTTTGGGAACTCATTCTCTTTGGATGGATACTTTACTCAGTATATAGTAGGGAGGGCCTTGGACCTTCCCCAAAGCAATATCCCTTACCTTCTCTGAGGAGTGGATGGAGGGTGGGGTGGAGGGAACTGGGATTTGTATGTAAAATGAAAAATGATAGTTTGTTTTCTTTTTTAAAAAAATAAAAAAGAGGGCTGGAGAGATGGCTCAGAGGTTAAGAGCATTGCCTGCCCTTCCAAAGGTCCTGAGTTCAATTCCCAGCAACCACATGGTGGCTCACAGCCATCTGTAATGCCCTCTTCTGGCCTGCAGGCATACACACAGACAGAATATTGTATACATAATAAATAAATAAATATTAAAAAAAATAAAGAAGAGAGAAAAAACCTTTCCCCCCAATATTTATTATTTTATTACTTTTTGGATGTTTTGAGATGAGGCTCATAGCTGAACTCACTATGTAGACCAGGCTGAACTCACAGGGATCCCCACATGCCTCTGATATTAAAGGTGTGCACCAATATGCCCAGTTCTTTAACAAATGTTTAAACACCTACTATATGCCAGATACTATTCTACTTTTGTTGGTTTTATTATTTTAATTTTTATGAACATGAGTATTTTGCCTGCATGTGCGTCTGTGTACCATCTCTGTGCCTGGTGCCCACAAAGGCCAGGAGAGGGTTTGCCACCGTGTCTGGATCTGGAGTTACAGGTGCTTGTAAGCCTCCGTGTTGGTGCTGGGAGTCGAATCTAGATCCCCTGAAGCAGGCAGCACTCTCAAGCATTGAGCCTTCTCTAGACCTGTGGCCTTGTATTTAACGGCCAGCTGCACAGGTCACGTGGAGTCCAGGCTCTGGGCCCGGTGCTGTGATGTGTTTGATTAAGTCAGGCAGAGGAGTCAATGCTTTGTCCCATGATCAGTCTTTAACATTCACATACTGTCCAGAAGAAATATCATGTCAGCTATGTACCTCATTAAAAACTATCTAGTAGCCAAGAAAGAAATAATTGAAATTAATTTTTTTGTTTGTTTGTTTTTGAGACAGGGTTTCTCTATGTAGCTTTGGAGCCTGCCCTGACACTTGCTCTGTAGACCAGGCCGGCCTTGAACTCACAGAGCTCGCCTGCCTCCCTAGTTAGTGCTGAGACTAAAAGCGTGTGCTATCACTCACTCCGTGAGTGAAATTAATTTTAATTTAAACCTCTATAGAATACTCCAAATGCTAATATCGTAGCATGCGATATATATTTTTAAACCAAGACTCATGTTTCTCCCATTCGTACTCGGTCTTTGAAATCTGCTGCATATTTTATGCTTCTTGGACCTCTCTAGCTGAGGCCACCCACACCTCGAGTGCTCGGTGGCCACGTGGCTGTGTGACTGTCCCATTATACAGCGCAGCCCTAGGTAGAGTGGAGGCATGCTGCTGAGCTGAGCCGTGTCTGTAGACCTCGGGCGAGATTTAGGGCCCACCCTGAGGATAGAGGTATCCAGACCTGCTGCCTGCTCGGCAGCCCTTCTCGGTTGCTTTGGAGTAAATCTTGGATGCACGTTATCCCTTGCTTTTGAGCTCAGCCTCTGATGGTCTTGCCCTCTGGGTCATACAGCATCCCAGAATCGAGGCTGTTTCTGTGGGGTGGGGAGTCAGGACCAGCTGTGCCTATGCTCCCTGCTTGCCTCCCTGCGCCTCAGCCCATGCCCTCCCTGGAAAGAACGTACTATTAGTTACAAAGCATTGCATCCCTCAAGAAGTGTCAATGCCGGAGTTCTGCCTGGATGGTGTCGGGTGTCAGTGACATCACTGGTAATTCCTGTCACTACTGACAACTGTTTTCCTTCTGAGCTCCAGGAGCTGAAACTCGGCCTTCCGTGGCTGAAGGCCAGCGCAGAGAACTTGCCTTGCTCAGCCCGAGTCCTAGTCTGGCCTCCCTAAAGTTGACTTGACCTTCTTCAGCCACAGGCGCTGCCTGTGTTGTAGATGGCCTGTGCCTGGGAGACTAAGTCCCTTGGCTGGTGTTTCCCTCTGCAGGAAGAACCTCTCCGTCCAGGGTGTCCGCTGGTGGCTCCAGTGGCTGGGCATCAACTTCACTCTGTTTGTGGTGCTGTTTTTCCTGACCACACCCTCCATCATTATATCTACCATGGACAAGTTCAATGTCACCAAACCCATCCATGCATTGAATGTGAGTGATCGACCTTCAGGGAGAGGGTGGTGGGAGCAGTGGGAACCGGACGTGGAGCTTGAAGGCTTGAAGCAGGGGGCCGTGTCACTCAGCTCGTGTTTGCCGTGTGTGTGTGTGCGTGTGTGTGTGTGTGTGTGTGTGTGTGCACGCGTGCGTGCACGTGTGCAAGTGTGGAAGCCAGAGAAAGATATAAGTTGTCCTGTTTCATTACTTTGAGACTATCTCATGGATCCTGGTAGAAGCCTGGCAGCTAGAAGGCCCAGTGATCTTCCTGTCTCCACTGCTTACAGAGCTGTGGGCACAGGCAGGCACAAACCTGGCTTTTCACAGGGACTGCTGGGGATTTGAACTCAGATCCTCATGCTTGCACAACAAGTAGTCTTACCCAGTGGAGCCTTTCTAGTCCACGTTTGCCCTTTGAGGCTTTAAGCAGGCATGGAGATGTTTATCATGGAGCCTTTACGGCACTTAATGGGGTCAGTCTAATGCTCAACAGGAAAGGTCTTCTGAGCTGAACGATACCTGTTTAGCCTGAAGAAATGTGAAACATTTATAAAAACTGCATGGTTATCTTGGTAAGCTTATAGTAAAAGCAGAATATGCTGCTCGGCATGATGGCTCACACCTGTAATTCTGGCACTTGGGAGGGAGAGCAGGAGCTTGAACAGAAGTTCAAGGTCATACTGGTTTACAGAGTGAGACCCTTTTTCAAAAACAGACCGGCTGGGTCTGGAGACATGTCTCGTTGTTAGAGCTTTTACTGCCTTTTTTCTAGAGGATATGGGCTCTGTTCCCAGCACCGCTCCAGTCAGCTCACAGCTGCCTTCACTCTGCCCTCCACAACAGCCTGAACGTATGGCACTTAGCCGCACACAGGCAAATATACACATGCATAATTAAAAAAAAAACCAAGGCTTAAAAAAACCCCAGCCAACCAATCAAACAAAACCTCCTGTACTTATTGTAGAATTGCAAGTAAGCAATGGTTCCAGTGATATATATCTCATATATATATATGGCTTTACTTTCCAATTTAGTCCTGATTGTCTTGTTTTAAAGCATTGTCTTTGCTGTAGGTAATGAATGCTTTTCAAAACACCTCAGATGATCAGGCAATGATAGACACTCAAGAGGCTAAGATAGGTTATATGCCAGATGTGATAATGTACCCCTCTATCCAGGGCTTGGGAGGGGTCCTGGCTCCCTGGTCCTGGCTCTGCCACCACTGTTTTTCATCCTTTAGCTGGATTGGTCACCTGTCATGTTACACCTGGGATAGATGGGCGGAGCATTTATCTGACTCGAAAGACTTTTAAAAACACCTAAGTATGCACGGCATAGTTTTCTTTAGACGGACAACAGGTGAAATTCATTCTTTTGCCAATCTTTTGGTGCAGACGCAAGGCCTGTTTTTCTGAGGATTTCTGCCGGTTAGAGGTCCCCTTTGTCTGTCTTACATAAACTACGTTCTTATTTCACCAATTCTGATCCCAGTTTGGGTTTCTTTAAGTAAGAACTTAGACTGTGGGTGTAGCTCATTGCATAACAAGAAAGCAGCCCCAAAGCTTTCCTGTCCCAAGTACCCCAAATTAAAGAATAAATAAAGTAAAACAAACAATTAAACATAATACATGTCTGGTGCTTGAGGAGGCCAGAAGAGGGTGTTGGATCCCACTAGAATTGAAGTTATAGATGGTTGTGAGCCCCATACGGGTGCTGGGAATTTACCTCATGTCCTCTGGGAGAATAGCCAGTGCTCTCAACCACTGAGTCATCTTTCCAGCCCCTAATTTACTCTTATGTAATTCAACAACCTATTTTTAGAAATGGGCTTTAATAAATCTTTTCAAAATGTTCAACTTAAGCTTTTAAATTTTTCCATATTTATTTTTGAGGTCCTGGGAACTCACACATACTTGGCAAGCACTCTGTACTGAGCCATACCTCTAGACAGCCACGGCTTAGTTTCAAAGAGAATTTCTTCCTGTTTTTATGTTCCTTTAATCAGTAAAAATAAATTCTGTAATGACAGTAGCCAGTACAACCGGTATAAACAGGATTAGGATCAGACACCGTGGGACTGTGGCAAGCTGGAAAGTGGCTGGAAAGTGGGTGTTGACCAGTTGGAGAGGAGCCCTGGACATCACTGGGGATGGAGAAGTCGGTCTCCTCCGGCCCATCAGATGAGTGGAGTTGCATTGCGCATGTGACTCCTCTCTCAGCTATAAAGGTCGCAAAGCCATGAAGTGCAGTTACTGTTTATTCGCTAGGGCTTGAGACTTCCCACCCTTTACCCAGCATGGCTTTGGTTCTGGAGCATGGCTAGGAGTTCTTTGAACTACTGGGTCCCCAGAGACCCCCCCCCAACCTTATCTTGACCCTTGTGGTGGCTCTTGTCTTTCAGGACCCGATCATCAGCCAGTTTTTCCCCACACTCCTGCTCTGGTCCTTCTCGGCGCTGCTCCCAACCATCGTCTACTACTCCACACTGCTGGAGTCTCACTGGACGAGGTGAGCATGGTCTGAGCCTGTTCTGGACTGGATGTCTCTTACTCCCCCCAGGGGAGCAGGCACATCGCTGAATCAACTTGTCTTTGTCTCCTGCAGGTCAGGGGAAAACCGGATCATGGTGTCAAAGGTCTACATATTCTTAATCTTCATGGTGCTGATCCTGCCTTCCCTCGGCCTGACTAGGTACATCCGCTTCCTGTCCAGCCCCACTCAGAAGCTGGACCCAGTTCTTGCCATCTAGTCTGGAAGTATGATAGATAGTCTTTGGAAACAAAGAACTGTGAACAAAACTTAAAGAGGACCTCCCTTGCAGGGAGGGCCTCGTCCTAGCTGTGTTCTTCTTGTGGAAGGAAGTGCCTGTTAAAGCTTGTGTGATGAGTCACATGTAAGAGGCACCGCAGGGAACAAATGTCTTAAGATTGGGGCTGCTTTTAGAGGGGAAGAAAACTAAAGTGTGCCATGACTACAGCTAAGCGCAGGGAAGAGAACCGGAGGGCAGAATGGTGTGAGCGAGACCTAGGTTTCATCTCCAGTATTGAGACAAACAAACAACCAAATGAATAAGAAACTCATGGAATTCGTCTTCTTTTCAGCCTGGATTTCTTCTTCCGGTGGCTCTTTGACAAAACTTCCTCGGATGGCTCCATCCGGCTGGAGTAAGTATGGGCTCAGCCTCTATCCAGAGTGCAGATCTCAAGAGCTTTGTGAGGGGAGGGAGCTGCAGTGTGGTGTCAGGCCTCAGCCTAGGCTTTCTCCCCTGGAAATAGCAGGCCTTGCAATCACACCAGCCCCCTGCATTCCTGGAATATATGTGCGAGTTGGCCTACTTTGTGTGTGCTTGCAGAAATGTGATTGTCATTTAGGCCAAGATTCAATTAGTGGCAATCACTCTTCTCGTCCGAGACTTATTTACAGACCACAGAGCCGCTGGGGGAAGGCGCTGCTGGGTTTTAGTGATGCTCCAGCCAGGGAAGGATGCTAGTTAAACCTAGTGACTGTGTAGCCTGTGGACTGTTTAGCCCGGGAAATGGAGCTCAGTTAGGTCTGGTGTGTGCTCGTCTTAGTACTGTAAGCCTATGATACACTCCCCGAATTGCGAATGGCTCTAGGCTAAGTGTTTGTGAGTCCTTATTCAGCCCTCACAAGAAGCTATGAGGGGGGCTGAGGAGGCAGCTCCGTGTGTGTGTGTGTGTGTGTGTAAAGTGCTTGCTGTGTGCGATGACACTCACTTGTCGTCCAGGCACGAGGAGCCAGAGACAGGAGGATTCCAGGAGCTATTGGCCATCTCCAGCTAGTGGGTGGACTCCAGTTTCAGTGAGAGAGAGAGAGAGACAGAGAGAGAGAGAGAGAGAGAGAGAGAGAGAGAGAGAGAGAGAGAGAGAGAGAGAGAGAGAGAGAGAGAGAGAGAGAGAGAGAGAGAGAGAGAGAGAGAGAGAGTCTCAAAAAATAAGATAGAGAACCATAGAGGAAGATATCTAGTGTACACACACACACACACACACAGAGACAGAGAAACAGAGAGAGAGAGAGAGGTGGGGGGAGAGGAAGAGGGAGAGAGAGAGAGGAGGGGGAGAGGGAGAAAGCTGTGAGGTAGATGTTATTCGTGTCTCAATCTTACAGACAGTGGGGTCAGAGATATTGCGTAGCTCACCCAAGCTTGTCCGGCTAGTTATTCAGCCTAGCTCACTGTACTCAAGGGCTTTCCGCAGCCCCAAAGGCTTCAGAGTCATTGGGAATGGTTGTGGGAGAGGCTGGCCTGAAAGGTTGGGGTTTGTTTCTTGCTGAGTTGACTGGTGACTCGGGAGAAGGCAGCTACAGATAGACAACGACCTACCTAACTAGCTCCTGGCTTGGAAGCAAGCTGTAACAGTGTGTCCATAGCTCCATAGTCGGGACCTCCTGCTTGAAAGAGGCCTCTGACTACCAAATTCAGTGGCCAGCTCGCAGTTCCTGTTCTCTGTGACCTGTGAGCCACACCTGGCATATTGCCTGAGGCTCGTCCTGGAGACAGTGTCCTCACTTGACTCTGAACTCTGTTCATGGTCTCCCTGCAAACACAGCGTCTCCTTTGCAACCTCCTGGAGACTTCCTGCAAAGCTGAGTCGGCTGCCCGAGGGCTCTATCCTAGGCTCCATCCTCCTCATCTGTGGCTTCACTGCTATTTGACTACTTAATCAAAATAGGTGCACGGAGAGGCTAGAGGTGTGCCTCGCTGGGCTTCATCCAGCACCAAGAAGTTAGAGAAAAAAATTAAATTCCACCATATCCACGTTATCACTTTAGAGTCTTCCGTCTCCTTCCCCAGCCTCAGATGGAGCCCCTTCTGTGCACTGTGGGCTTTACCTGCCCTAACTGGATCTGTTACGCCCCCAGTTTCCTCATAGCTTTCAGTGTTGGTCCAGAAAAGGCCTGGAGCTCACGCTGCCTTTTTTCTTCCTTCCTTCCTTCCTCTCACGCTGTACCCACTTTCTCAGCAGACCCTCCAGTTCTATCTCCAAGAAAGATGGAGAATTGGACCCTGCCTCTTGACCCCACCAGCACCTCATCCAGCATACCCCATAGTTATCATAGTGTCCTCATCCAGTGCACCCCCATAGCTGTGGTAGTGTCCTCATCCAGTGCACCCCCATAGCTGTGGTAGTGTCCTCATCCAGTGCACCCCCATAGCTGTGGTAGTGTCCTCATCCAGTGCACCCCCATAGCTGTGGTAGTGTCCTCATCCAGTGCACCCCCATAGCTGTGGTAGTGTCCTCATCCAGTGCACCCCCATAGCTG